CCGCGTTGGAGGGAGTCCCCTTTCCCTGGAGCCCCGCCCCCTCATTTGCATGCCCCCGCCCCCTGCTTCCTTGGAGAAGCGCAAGCCTCGCTTCCGCCTTCAGGACGTCAGGGGTTAAGGCCGCCCGGAAATAAGGAGTGGGAGCTAGAAAGGCGACTAGGTCTTTCCTTCCATCACAACTCTATGGCTGTGGAGGACCCAGATTCCCTGCCAGGAAAGGCTGAATCAATGAATACAGGGATGGTCTTTCTTTCTGGGACTCTTAAGAAACTTCTCAAACTCTCCAGGGAAAGAGCAAGAATCCTCACAGGCTGGTATAGCAAGAAGGGCAAGGGGAACATCCTCTTAAATCTTTCATCATCCTCCCAAAATGCGAGAGAAGTGGGGGGGGGGGAGGTGGGCACTCCCGGAGCTTCTGTCGCCGGCTTTACTGGAGACTGCTCAGATCCAAGCGACACCCTGCCCAGCGGAGAATAAACCAGCCCAGACCAGGAACAACTTTGCAATGTTATCTTTAATGGAGTTCTGTCAAACCAAGAGAGAAAACAGCGGAGAAAAGAGCCGACAGAAGCTGAGTAGCTCTACGTCCTGACCCGCAGAGAGATCACCAGAGCAGTGGGAAAACAGGAGCTTGGAGCAAAACCAAAACAGCATCCTCAGATCAGAGAGAAGGGAATGGGGGTGTTTGTTGTTGGGGTGTGAGGGAGGAGAAACCAAAAAGGAGTGACCTCCCCCCTCTCTGATTTTGCCCAAGCCCTGCCTGATCACCGCTTCATTTCACAGCGCGTCTCGGAACCTAACCAGGCAAAGCCAACAGTAGAAATTCGCCATTAAAAATATATATATTTACACCAAACTCAGCTGGTTCGGCCTTGAGGCTTCCCCGTCCCTCCCCCAAATGCCATTCTACATTTAATGAACCACCCAAGTCCCTTTCTGTTCAGAAATGGATTCCTTTGCACAGAGGGTTTGTTCCAGTCCGGGATGGGTGGATGAGGAATGGGTCGGGCTCCGCCCAGCAGTGGCTGCCTGTTGCTTCTTCAATGAGGTGCCCTTTAAGTCACTTGGACCGCAGGAACCAGCGGCTGCAAGGGGCGCGCTTCTTCCCACCCGAAGGAAGCCGAGGCAGGGCAAGCTGCCCCGGGTGGGCTCAGCTATCCACCTCCTCCTCCTCTTCCTCCTCATTTTGCTCCTCCTCCTCCATCCTTTCCTCCTCCTCCTCCTCATTGTTCTCCTCCTCCCGGTTCTTCTCAGAGTCTTCCGAGTCCTCTTTCTTGTCTTGGTCTTTCTTCTTAAGCTCTGCACCTCCCCTTTTGCCTTTCTGCTCTTGCCTGTAAGCTGGGGGGAAAAAGGAGGACACACCAAAACCAGACTCGGGTGCAGGCCCTCAAAAATGCTGCTCTTGGTATATTGGGTGGGTCAGCCCTCTGGAGCAGCAGCAAAGAGGCTCCCCATGGACTGGCGATATCCTGCCTACCATCCCTGTAACTTCCTCCCTGTCTGGCCTTGAGCATTGCCAGGACTGGTAATCAAAGAGCTTTTTGCTGTCTTTAACTCCTGTTTAAGAAATATAAGCTCTGCCTCTCTTCTGCTACCAATCTGAAGCCCAAGGAGAGCTGCTGCCTGGTGCACCAGTCACTGCTGGATTATGGCGGATGCTGCCCCAAAAGGTCTTCTTGTCCCGGCCACACTCTGGGCACATCCCCACCAAAAAGAAAAAAAGGGTGTGTGTGTGTGACTGTGAAGGCTGAGTCACTGCTGGATTATCTTCTTGCCAAGGGGAACACACAAAAGCAAATTAATCTGCAGCATCTCTCATCATAAGACACTAAGATGTTACCTTCTAAGGATTCTTTTAACGGTGTTATAAATCTTTGAAACTCCATTTCCTCCATGGCTGACAGGACATCTCCAGCGTTCAGGGTTTTCCTTTTTCCCTTCATTGCAAAATTATTAGCGCTAATTAAGGAGACAGAGAGAACAATAAGAGAGCAACATAAAAACTGTCTGTGTCAATGGTCATTTTCCTTTTCTACATTCCCCTCCCCTGCCCCGAAAAGGTATGAGCTCTAAAAACACCTTCTTAAAATTGCCAATGATCTGAATGGAAACAAGAGAGTTCAGCCAGGCTGTCCCCAAGCAGTTGCCCTCACTCTCATTACTATTATTAGGAAACACAGATTTTTTAAAAAAAAAGTTGCATTAGTATTATATATTAATGTATTTGTTTATTTCTACTTTTATCCTGCCCAACTAGTAGCAAAGCTCTGGGCAACAGATGCAGCCATGCACGACAATAACGGAAAAGCAACTTACCCGTCACCCCCTGTGAGACGGAGATCCTGATGGATTCACAGCACAAAAACTCTACCCCAGGAAAGCCGACCGACCCACAAACCCACCCACGTTGCCTGGAACCACCGAAGCCGCTGGACACACTCACCAGGATGTGGCGTAGAGCACAAAAACGCTGGCGGCTCGTGAGACGGCGCTCCGGGCTTCTTTGGAAATGTTTACTCCGTCAGGAAGCTGCAGCGAAGAGAGAGAGATGGACATCACCCCCTGGAAGCCCACCACCTCCTCAGCTCACAGGCGGGTAAGGATGACCCCCCCAAGGCTCCCCCACCACCACCACACCATATCTTTTTACTCACTGCTTCCTTGATGATGCGGGTGATGACCGCGTTGGGCAGGTTTAAGTCTTCTGGGCGTTCAGCCATGGCGGGCAGCTGGAGGGGAGAAGGGGGGGTCAATCAACCACCGATCAAAGCTGTGCACCCCCTCCCCACATCCCCTATGGCAGTGCTTCCCAACCCTTGGGCCTCCAGATGTTCTTGGACTACAACTCCCAGAAGCCTTCACTGCCCACCATCTGCCGGCCAAGATTCCTGGGGGTTGTAGTCCCAAGAGGCCCAAAATTGGGGGGACCCCTGACCCACCCCATGGGAGGCTTGAGGGCCAGAGCAAAAAAAAGGGGGGGCGCTGCCCCAAACCTCTGCTTTTGGAATTGGGGAGGGGGCTCTCGGGATCGCCTCCCTTTAACTTCACCCCAAGGCTGGGGAAGGGGAACTTTGAGGGGTGGAGGGAGCCTCTGGGCATGTGCAGAGCGCCTTCCTCTGGGCACGTGCAGAGCGCCTCCCTCTGGGCATGCGCAGAGCGCCTTCCTCTGGGCATGCGCAGAGCGCCTCCTCTGGGCATGTGCAGAACGCCTCCCTCTGGGCATGCGCAGAACGCCTCCCTCTTTTCCCTCCCCCTGCTTCTCCCCCTCCGGCCGGGAGGCCTCCCCGCTTACCGGGCCCGCAGCGCTTCTGCGGCGGCTTCTTTCCAAAGGCGCGCGAAAAGAGCCTCTGAACCGTCCGCGCAGGTCTGGCCTAAGCCACGCCCCCCTCATTCCCCAGCATCCTCCGCGGCCTCCCTTTTCCGCCGCCCAAAGGGGAGCCCAGAACAAAACGAGGTTTATCTACACTTCCGGCTCCACAACGGCCTGACCTGTAGGAAGGCGGGCTGTTTCTCTCTGGCCCCGTGCCCCGCTTATGGGAAGGGGAACCGGAAGTTAGTGACCGAGCAGGGTTCAACGCCCTCGCTCGCCTTCCCTTCTCTTTTCCCCCCTACCAAGAGGCTCCCGCGCGGAGCCTTCTGGGAAAGGCCCGAAGGAGGCGTGACGCGATAGGCAGCGCGCCTGGGCGACGAGGGTGCTTTGGCGTTGCTTAGCAACTGACGCCGGGCCCGTCTTGGCCCAGGTGCGGGGGGGGGGAGAGGCCTAACTTTGGGAGGAAGGGTGGAGAGGGGGACTTCGGCGCCCTTTTTCCTCACGGGCTTTCTTTATTCTGGTTTGAGGGAAAGGACGCAGAGCCGCCGGGAGGGCTGACAGGAGGGCCCTGGGGGGCGGCAGGCCTGGTTCTCCTCAGGAGTCGTTCCACCCCCCAACCCCAATTCCTGAGGAGAACCGGCCCGCTCACCGTCCCCCAGAGCCCTCCTGTCACCTCAGG